AGCACCGGTTAGCTCCAAGTGATGGGGATTATGTTAGAAGTTATTTCTTTGTAATATGATTTCTCATGTACTTAAAATTGCATGTATGAATACACAGAATGTTTCAAAGCATATAACAACCATTGAGATACTCTTAAGAATAGCCACTGTTGCAATATAGAAAGCACACTAACCAATCTGCACAAAGCCAAATCCTACAACTGTGACAACAGGCCAGAGAATCTGACTCAATGAAAGCACTCTCCAGATCATCAAGCAGGGGTAGAGGCAGATAAAATCCAGTCCCTTGTCTGAAGTGGGAAATGTAACTCAGACACAGGAATGGTACACATTCAATCACAGTTCACAGCAGTGGTGTGGTGTCTAACCCACATTAATAATTTCACACTGAGATCTGCATGTTACCAGCTGATGTGGATTCCACCACAACCAACTTTCAATGGTCAGTGCTAAAAAGGAGGCAAGTAAAGGGAATACTTTGGAAAATCAAACACACAAGGTATGAAAATGACATTATAAATCCACGAATGGGGCTACTAGTGACTTGCTTTTTGGAAGAACACAAAAGGGAGATGATTTGACCCCTTGTCCAGAGGGACTGACAAAGCAGGTAAGAAGAGAAAAGCAAGGGAATGAATGATCCTAGTGCATCCTATTCAGCCTGACGCTGTTTTTGCTGCTTTTGAAAAAAGGTATATGTTTTGCGACTTGAGAAATGATGGGTCACAGAGGGGAAACAATACCATTTATATTGTGCGCTTAATGTGTCAAAGAGTCCCAAAGCATTTGGCTTCAAATGTCTGTTGTGGTGCCATAGAAAGAGATAGAAGGAAAGGTAACCAAAATGCTTGATAGAGGAACTCAGTTTCATGCAGCACCTTAAATGAGGACAGACGGGTAAAGAGGCAGAGTTGCTTAGAGGTATCTGAATGTCAATGATAGAAGGGAAGTTGAAGGTGTGAAAGGGGCTAGAATCAGAAACAACGTAGGCTGGGAGGGGCAAAAATTTGGTAAATTCTTGCATGCGGTGATTTACTTCGAAGGTTATTTCTCATAAAAGTGCAAAACTGTTGTTTTGAAAATTTTTACTGTAAAATGGGGAACAGAGGATAGTCCGCTCAGTCAGCAGAGGAAGCGTCCCTCCTACAGCGCAGTAAAAAAAATTATAGGTTAAGAATGACATTAGTGCCTCCCTCACAATGGGGATATCTTTGAGATAAATAACTGAGGAGGCACGTGAGAATTTAAATAGCCCTTCACTTTAATAAGAGCCTCAGTCAGCAACAAAGGCAACACAAAAGGTACCGTTGTTTGCTATAATTTCGCTGAAGGTGATCTTTGAAACTGAAGTAAAGTTTGCCCAATTTGAGATAAAAGCTGACCAAGCACTGTCAAGCTCCTATATATTTATGCTGAATACATGGCTTTTGGGAGGGCCATTATCTCCAGCAACTAAAGATTCCTTCTTAAATGAGACACACATAACACATTAACAGAAGGTAGCATGGATAAAGATCGTAATTAGATAATCGATATGTGAATAAATTGCTCGTGGATATTGAACTGAAATTCACGTGCAGCAGCCCAGCATAGTGGCACAGATGGAAATAAAAAATTTCCGGGGGCGGTGGGGAGGTCCAAAACAAGGGCTCATAAACCTAAGCCAGTCAGTAATAAATCCATTAGGAAGTTCAGGAGAAATCTTTACCCAGAGATTAGTGAAAACCGGGGACATTGTTGAGGTACACGATCGGCCTTGATCTAGAATGATGCACCGGGCTTGAGGGGCTGAATGGCCCACTCCTGCTCTTATGTTCCAGCACCACAGGAGTAGGGGTGGTGATTAGCACAGTTACAGCTAAGATTAAGTTAGATAAGCAAGTAAGGGCGAGATAAAGAGGGAAGGGAAAATAAATATCGAGATGGGGCAGCGGCCCAGATGACCTGTTTCAGTGCTGTAATTTCTACTTAATCCCGCGACAAACAATTACACCAACCTTCCCACCATCTGCATTGTACTCTTTCTCATCCACATCCAGCAGCCTGGCCAAGCCGAAGTCCGTGATCTTAATGTGATTCGGTGACTTTACCAAGACGTTCCTTGCTGCCAAGTCTCGATGAACCAGCCGTCTCTCCTCCAGGTACATCATTCCCTGCCACATAGAAATTAGCCCTCACTTTAATCGGTTCATGTTTTCAGCATAACATGTACAGAAATAAAGTGTTTACAGATATTGCAGCAAGGTTTCAGTTCTAGTTAGATATATTCTCAATCATTTGAGTGATTTGGAGAATTGTTGACAGCTGCAGCTCCAAAAGTTCCCCCATTTAAATAGGCCATTGACGATTATAGCACTTTGGTGCTATCAAAGACTCAGCAACATGAGATATGAGCCTCTGTACATGCTGTGATCTTCTTCCTCTTGTTTTATTTTCGAGGTAAAAAAGGAATAGGCTGCCCTCCAACATCAGAGGTTACACAGGGACTGTTCCATTTAGATCCTACAGAATCATAGAAAATTTAACACCCAATCTTGACCTTCCTTGATTTGGTCGCCTTTTTCATTGCAGTAACATACTTCTACACGGCAATCTGCATCTGTAACTCCTTATTTACTATAGTCCATGCATTTACAATACACACACGTTAACTCTGTTTTGGAATTCATTTCTTTCTCACTTACTCCTACTTCACCTATAAACTTCCCATTCTGTATGCCAGTGCCAGCTATATCCCCATGTATTTTGTGAACTACGGTATTCTCCTCTACAATCCTGTCTTGGATCCCGTACCCTTACCAAGTTACGGCACAAAAGTAGGCCATTCGGCTCATCGTGTCCACACTAGCTCTTCAGGCAAATATTATTACCTTCAGCCAATCTCTGCTTTGTCCCCAAACCCTTGCATGTTATTTCTATCCAAATAATTATCAAATGCCCTCTTGAACGCCTCAATTGAACCTGCCTCCATTATATTTCCAGATAATGCATCAATAGCCCAACTACTCATGGAGTAAAAAAGCTTTTTCTCACCTTTTGTTTCATTTGAAATCACTTTAAATCCATGCCCATTCTTGTTCCTTTTACAAGAGGGAAAAGCTTCTCCCTATCTATTCTATCCAGCCCCTTCATGGTTTTGAAAACCTCTGTCAGATCTCCTCTCCACCTTCTTTTCTCTAAAGTGAACTGTCCAAAACACGGGAGCACCTCCTTCACATGTGGTCATCCACGATAAGCAGGATTCATGACTTTCCTTATCTGATTTTGCTTACTTCGCTTTATTATCTTTGCCCTTACTTTAACTTATTTCTGTTATTACTCAGTTAAGACCATCTTACAAAAAAAATCCACTTTTTGAATCACGAAGCAACCACCGCAGAACTTCCATGTAACATTACTGTCTAATTCTGTTCCCCAAACTGCGTGTTCTCCCAGAACTGCAGCTGTTAAGCCTGCATCCTCTCTTGCTGCCTCCTCTTTTGCTACTGTGTTGAAGCTAAAGTGCTCAGTCCCCAGCCTTGGGCCTCAAGTTAACCTTTGAGACTGGCGGTTATCATTCTCCGAAGCCAGCCCACATATTCATCTCTAACAGATAAAACAATCACGTTCACACTCATACCGCTGACACTCCAAACATTCTGGCCAGACGAAGTAAAGCAACAGACCACACTTGAAGGCTGAATGCTGGCTAAGGACTGAACTTCAGTCGAAGCATCAGTTCTCATTGACTGCCCAGTGAAATATAAATGAAGTGACACTGCTCGAGGTGGAGAGCGATGGGAAACTGGGATCTGTGACATAAAAACATACGAATTAAGAATCAAGAATAGGCCACTCAGCCCCTTGACTTTGCTTCACCATTCAATAAGCTCATAGCTGATCTAATTACTTGTCCCAACGATCTCTCCATAATC